AATCCTGTCCTTCCATATCTACATGACACTCAGCACTTTGAATAGACTGCCACCTTTGGAACTTTKGAACCATCCAAAGGAAAGAGGAAAATCTTGAGTGATACAATTCAAGGTCCTAACTCTGCTTGACCCACCTGGATCCTTTTCAAAAGCATCACCATGACATGCCATCAGCAGTCCCAACAATTCTAAGCAATCTGCTTATTGCAATTCTTAGACCAATAAACTCCAATCAGCCCTTGTTTCATAATAATTGTTTCAAAACTTTCTTACCCATCAGTATTGATGTGGTCTGTGATGCACATACAGTGAATGATTCCGTGGTATATTAAAGATGGATCCCTAGAAACTCCTTTCAAGGAGCAAGCTTTGGGGACTGATTTTAGAAGAATATCTCTGAGTCATCCATTTGATTATTTGAACAGATGCTGCTGACTTTTGGCATCATAGCAGAAGGGATGAGTCCCCAAGGTGCGTTGTAATCAGGCAGCCTGTGAGGCGGGTCGGCGCAGGGAACAGTAACTCTCAAACCCAGGCATGTATCAAAAGTGTAAGCAGTAATGGAGCTGTTGCTCTCTCAACTGGTAGTTTGCTCCAGAGCAGAACTTTAATTAGWGGCTCCCTTAACAGCCAAGCAGGCTCTGTGTACATCCATAAAAAGCCATCTGAGCACTAACAGTGGCTTCTTCCACTCATTAAATTGAGGGAATGGTCAACCTTCTGCCTGAACCACAAAAGTCCCGCTGACCTGATTTCAGGTGGAAGTGGTTTTTATTCCATGTAACCTGGAAAGAGGAAGGTTTTACAGCATTTCCTTCACTGGCTCAAGTCCAGAATTCAAATTGAATGTGGCTTTGTCAAAGCTGTAAACAGGAGTAAGCACCTGTTATTATTTTGAGCAGRGCCTTAGGCAGTCTGAAGGATAAGGTGAGGAACCCTCTTCATTTGTGCTGGCCTTGCTGCAGTCACTGTACCTGGAGCATGAGTTCCCAGAGGRCTTCCTATCCCTTGGAAGCTACAAGGTGCTTCCCCATCCACAACAGCCAGGCCCACTGTCAGGGTCCATGTCTGTCCACTGCCACTCCTAAAGATATTTCACCTCTGTATCCCCAAGCAAATCTTCATTGTTGAGAATATGCAGAAGGTACTTGCTCTTTCCCTGTATCTGCTTTCCATTCCCCATGAGGCCTTCTCTACTTGTGGGGGCCATTTTCCAATAATCCTAACTTCATGCCATATTTTATTTCACACCATCTCTTATCTACTTTTAATTCCAGCAGATGATTTTGTCACAACCTCCTTTGAGCAGATCYGAGCTTTCTGGTATCTTATCTATTTCATTGTCCATAGAGGCTCTGATGTGAATCCTATCCTAAAGCACCTTGTTTTGCATCTTCCTCCAAGGTGAAYCTGCTGCTTGGTTCCTTTTCTTTAGGGTCTCATTTTCCATTAAAGTACCTTCTCTCTGCCAGGCATCTCTTAATTTGTTCCCTGATTCATTGGCATCCTCTCATCCACTGAAACTGTTAAGAGATGGCCACTAGCCTGAGGATGTGCAGCTGGGAAAATCTCAGCAACCAACCTCAAGGGTAACAACAGCATGTACATTGCTTCTCTGCAGCCTGATGAGTAAAAGGCCTGGTAGGTTAACTTGTATAGTGTGGGCAGAATAGGGAAACAAAGCAGGGGCATATTAATTAACACAATGAATAATTCAAAGAGCACTTTCTCCCAGACAGCAGTTGGGCTGGGCTGGAACATGACTATGGAACTCTAATATCATGCTTCAGGGTCAACCTGGCTTTGAGCTGTATAATCTTAGTCAAGTCAAAATCTCTTTGAGATATAGTTCTTCACTGAAAAACAAGGAAACAATAATAGAGGTCTTGAAAGACCCTCAAAATTCAAGGTGCTGAATGAGATGGTTATGAATATACCCAACAATGTGTAGATGATAAGCAAATTTTGCCCAGTTTTTACCTTTTTTCTTCCTCCCTCCCTCCTCCCTCTGTATTAGTCCATTTCCAGTTATTGTATGAAAATGAATAAGGCTGGCTACTTCACAAAGAAAATAAATTTATTTTGGCTCATGGTTCTGGAGGTGCAGTCTAGGCAATGGCAATGGGTTCTTGTTGGCAGGGTCCCAAGGTAGCACAGAGAGTCACTTGTTGAGAGACAGGGAATGTATGAACATCTATCTGGTCTCTTTCCCTTTTGATAAAGCCACAGGATGCAATCCTATTCTAATGACATTTTCGAATCCAAATCATGCCCCCATTACCACCACAGTGCCAACCAGAATCAGGWTAAGTTTCTACCCTCTTTATAAATTAAACATCTGATTTTGGAGATTAAACTCCTTCGTGAGTTCAAACCACAGCTTCCTCTCCCCTTCCCCTCCTCCCTTTCTTCCTTCCATTCCCCTCTTCCTTCTTTACTCCTTACCTTCTTATTTAGTCCTCTGAAGATCCTAGGTGAAAAGCATAGAGAGATAAATGAAGCATAGCCCCAGCTCTTTAGTAAGATGCTATTTCAGAGTGAGTGCAGATACCTCAGAGCAATGAAGAAGTCGACTATTAAAAAGGTTGTAACAGACCAGAGAAGAGAAAGGTAAGATCAATTCTGCCTAAGGGCATGGGAAAGGTGACCAGTCTTTGAAGTGGAAGTCTAATCCTGCCTGAAACCTACCTGCTCTGCTTTGCTGAGGACTGGACCTGAGACCCAGCACCCACTCACACTATCTTTGGAATATGGTTGTGTTTCAGCTGACTGATTTAACTCTTGCACAAAGAAAGAAAAATGGGAGTAATAAACTGGATTTAAAATGGCATGATGGCAGAAATGTGCCATGTTACCAGGGCATGTAAGGTTTCCTCTCCATTCAGAGATTCTCTCTTTTTCCTTTTAAAAAAATAAAGACCCTATATAACACTGGGAGGCGTATCCAATGTTGCAAAACCAAAACCTGGTGGAACTTGGATGAGACTCACATCATCATATTCCCTGACTACAGATCATTCTGCTTCTGCCTTTCACTTCTGTAGCCTGAGAAACAAATAGGAAGGAAGAAAGAGAGGAAGAGGATGGAAGAGAGGGGAGAAAGGAAGAAAGGAAGAAAAATGTAATGGAGAAAGGGATGGAGAGTGATTGCAACAATTTATTGTTTTATCAATAAACAAATTTTAAATCCTTTCAATGCTAGCAAACTCCATAGTTTGAGTTACACAGCTAATCAAGCTGTATAGGTATTGTCCGTTGTTCTCATTCACTAAGGACAAAGTCTTTCTGTAATTGCCTTCCTCCCTAATCTCATCTGCCCTGTCATACCATCTCTGAGAATATCTGTTAGAAAAATCAGGTTTATGAATAGCTCATATTGTGGCTCTCCAATGTGACTGGAAGGAACAATTTCTCATTCAAAGAGACCTGTGATTGAGGCAAAACCAACAAAAAGACATCATTATTCCCTTTTTCAGACCCCAAACAAACTTTCAGTTAGAATGCTTTATACATACTATCATAAGTTCTTATTAGCTGCATCCATTTGGGGTCACCCCACTGTAGACATAGACTTTTTGTTAAACAAAACAAAGAGGATATTTAATGACAGAAACAGAATTTGTTAATAAATAAGTCAAACAAGAAAAACTTCCTGCATTCTATAAAACTGTTTGATGGTGTCACAAGATCCTCCCCTCTGGACCTGTTTCCCACATTGTATATAATCACACCTCTTAGCCCCATTTGCATATTGGAGGCACTGTGAAATCTGTGGAATTCGTRTTAAAGATATCATAAAGGCACAGAAGCCTAACTGATGGATCAGAGCACATGTGGAAGAGTACTGGAAAGAACTGAAAAGCAYTGGACAGGTGGTGGCCCCACCATTACAGTCCACAGGCAAAGTTGGCCCATCTCTTATCCTGGGATGAGCAGAAGAAAAGAGAGTGAAAAAGCAAAGGTAGAAGCACTCAAATCATCCTGTACATGTAAACCTTCCACTTGACCACAGTTAGTTTTGTCTTCTTTACTTTTTGTTGTTGTTGTTGTTATTGTTTTTTTCCCCTGMAACTTCTCTCCCAGGATTTCCAAGTCTTCCTGTTCTTTCTAGCACCTCATTTAAGCCTGATTTGAACATGATAAAGGGGTGAGAGACAGTAACCCCAAATCACATTCCACCCTCCAGCAAAAGTCCTGCCTGAGCTTTTAGGAAAGATAGTGTTTATCATCAGAGCATTTTCAAGGATTTCAAAATACCGTGCATAGTAACCACTGCCCTGAAAATGAACATGTCTATAAAAATTCCATTTCATAGGTTAATTTGAACAGGACCTTTTCTCCGTAATCCAAGCGCACTCTGTGATCAAGAGCAAAGAGTAAACACAAGCCTAGTCCACACAGTCCTCCACTTAACATTTAGCATTCTAACAAATTAATCAAAGATGTTTGTTTGTGGTAGAAGAGAGAGCAGAGATTCAGAAAGCACATTGTTTGGATTTTTGTGAAGTTTCRTACTTTCATGCGTCTATACCTCTGGGTTTCTGAATGTAAAGAGAGATAAAAACTTCCCAACAATCTAAGTCAATACCGTCTTYGCATCCCAAGCTGAACAATTTGGTTGCGTTTTTTAACAGTGGCAAAAGCAGCTGTCCACAAAGCGGAAAGCCAAAGGGGGCCAGTTAGAGAGGAAGAAATTAAAGAATAAAGAAAAGAGAAAGATGAAAGGTCCATCGGAGAGTGAGTGACAAGCCTGGAGAAAGGCAGCCTGCGCAGTGCTGGCTGCCCACCAGGGAGGTGAGCAGACCGCCTCGCGCTAGCCTGACAGGTGAATGGAGCGGCGCAAAAGGARAAAGCGTGCGGAAGAAGGTCTTCTCGCAGACCGTCGCAGCTACGCCTACCGAGCGGGGGCAGCAGAGGAGCTGGGCGCGAGTTGGGCGGAAGACGGCTGCGACAGGAGGCGGGAGGCTGGAGGCGGGTGCGCCGGCTACACGCCAGCCTGCGTACCACTCSCCCGCCAGACGCGCTCCGGGCTTCTCCTCTTCCTCCGACGCGGGGCGGCTGCCCAGACATCCCCGCCTCTAGGTCTGGAGAACTCCCGAACCCGCCCGCGGAGTAGAGCGAGGCCGGGAGTCTAGCGGTCCCCAAGRCGCTCTTTGTCGTAGAGACGCGGGGACTAGACCCTGGGATCAGCGGAGGAGGGCGGCGCGGGCACTGACGCGAGTTGGGACCAGGACAACCCGCCGCTGGCAGGGGGATGCGCCAGCCCTGGCAGACAACCTAACAGGGTGCACGCGCCAGGCGGAGCGCGCAGGTGGGACTGCGCTCTCCGTGGTCCGCCCCGCGCGGGTCCCCTGCTGGCCGGAGGATGGGCACTGGTGCCCCAGGGCTGCGCCCGCCGCTGCTGCCCCCACCGCGAGCCCGGCGTCAGGCTGGCGTCCCATGCTCATGTATGTAGACTGGGCGCTGGTCTTCAGGGATGAGGGTGCATGTTGGGTGTCCGCGCCCCACGCGCTGGGACGACGCCCTGCTGCTGGGGTGAACCCTCACTTCCCCGCAGCCCAAGTTTGTAAATATGGGAGGTTCGCCCCGGGTTAAGGTCGGCTGGACTGGGACTAGGAATGAGCAGAGAGCGAGTATGACAACCCTAATGGAGAGGGTTGAGGGGGAGGAGGACAAGCGCACTGGAGCATTTAGAGTGGGTGGGCGTTTAGGGAAGCCTGGTTGGGTTGCAATTGCATAGCAGTGATAGGGGCTTTCTATGCTCCTTTGGGTGATAGAAACTTTGAGACCCAGAAAGGTTGGTTGGCATCCCTCCAAGTGAGATACTCTTACCCCCACTTTGCGTGCTGGAGCCCATATCTCCCCCACCGTCCACCTCAGTGTTTCTGGGCACTCTATTACCAGGACCCCTCCCGGGTAAAAGCACTTCCAAGACTGAGCGCTATGGCTGGCTACCCAGCCTCGCATCACCGCTCTAATCGCCCGTGACGGGCTGGGCGCCGGGGGCTGGCAAAGGAACAGATGCCTCGGGAATCCCGGATTCCGCTATCCCGGAAGAGTGAGGGGTATCCTTGGGGCAGCAGGGGTTAGAAAAGATAGAAAGCCTGTGCTCCCCGGACGGGAGGCATTTAAGAAGTTACGAATGAGTCACGGGGTCTAAGGAGAAGCCTTGTTAATCCGCTCCCCCCTCCTTTCCCCAGCAGAAGCCCTTAGGGCAAGAGAGAAAAGGTTTCCCTTTAATCTTCCTGCCCATTCAGTGTCCAGCTCCACTGCAGAATTTTCCATTTAATAACCTTGAAGAAATACGGCCAGGACCTAGGGAGGGACAACCAGTGTGCCTGAATTGTGTGGTTTCTGTATGAGCTTTGCAGGCGGGCACGGGCCCGGCTCGCTGCATTCCCTAGCTCCTCAAGCCGCCGGTGACAATCTCCAACACTCTTCACCACTACAGAAGACCCCGCCGGCCGGTATATTTCTTGGACTTCGCTTCCAGTGTATTCCTCCACAATTTGTGATGTCTAAGAACCCCAGCTGTGCACTGACGCTAAGCATGCTGCCTCCGTCTCCGGCGTCCAGCTCTTTAATCTAGAGCTATGCTGGAGCCCGGGCGGCACCGGGCCGGGTGGGGGCCGCGGCGGCCGGGGCGCGCGCGGGCCGTGGGGCTCAGTTGTGCTGCTGTTCTCTCCGCAGGGACGGCGGCTCCCGGCTGGCGGCGGCGCGCTCCCGGGCTGTGAATGCGACTCTCCCTGTGTCCGCGCTCCCCGCCCGCCCGCCCGCCGGGACGTGGTAGGGGATGCCCAGCTCCACTGCGATGGCAGTTGGCGCGCTCTCCAGTTCCCTTCTGGTCACCTGCTGCCTGATGGTGGCTCTTTGCAGTCCGAGCATCCCTCTGGAGAAGCTGGCCCAGGCACCAGAGCAGCCGGGCCAGGAGAAGCGCGAGCACGCGTCTCGGGACGGCCCGGGGCGAGTGAGCGAGCTCGGGCGCGCAGCGAGAGACGAGGGCAGCAGTGCCCGGGACTGGAAGAGCAAGAGCAACCGTGGGTTCTCCAGCCGCGAAGCGTGGAGCAAGCAGAAGCAGGCCTGGGGTGTCCAAGGCGGGGGCTCCAAGGCCGGGGACTTGCAGGTCCGACCTCGCGGGGACACCCCCCAAGGGGAGATCCCGGCCGCAGCCGCCCAGGACGCGATCAGCCGGGAACTCGCGCCTACGCCAGAGCTGCCTGAGGAGTACGCGTACCCAGACTACCGAGGGAAGGGCTGCGTGGACGAGAGTGGCTTCGTGTACGCTATTGGGGAGAAGTTCGCGCCGGGTCCCTCTGCCTGCCCGTGCCTGTGCACCGAGGAGGGGCCGCTGTGCGCACAGCCTGAGTGCCCGAGGCTGCACCCCCGCTGCATCCACGTCGACACCAGCCAGTGCTGCCCGCAGTGCAAGGAGAGGAAGAACTACTGCGAGTTCCGGGGCAAGACCTATCAGACTTTGGAAGAGTTCGTGGTAAGAGGACAGGCGACTTTGCACTTTCCTGGAAGGGGTGAAGCAGTTTTGTTCTATGGTTCCCCACTATTAAGAGGCAGTTTTTTGGTTCTCATGACCCTTTAACAAGACCTCTCTTTTCCAGTGTAGAGGTAACACTTCCAAGAGGATATCTGGCCAATCCATATTGAGTGCCTAGATATTCACTATAAAAGGGTTTCATTAGAACGAAGCCCAAGGTACTGAAGGGAACAGCTCCAAAGTAACAACTGTGCTTTCAACGTGAATGTATGGCTTCTAAGAAGTACTATAGGTGAAATGCTCAACCTGTTTTCAAACAGGGTAATTTACTATGACACTTGGGATATATTCTTAAACTAATAGCTGATTAACACACACACACACACACACACACACACACACACACACTCACACACGCGCCATTTCCCTAAATTATTTGTTCATGGTATCATGCAAATGTTCTAAAAATTAAAAGAAAAAGAAAACATTGGCTAATTAGGCTCCAAAACATACTGGATGGCAAAATCACAAAGTCCAGTTTATAGTTAAAAATGGTTTCGTTTCAGAAGAGTAGCAGTAATATTCACAGTAACAGTCATGGCCCCGATGCTTCTCTGTTGGGCCCCAGGCTAAGTTTTTCATATGCATTAGTTTATTTAAATTTCATATACCATGCTAGAAGCTAGATTATTATCTATTATCTCCATTTTATAAAGAGGATACTGAGACACAGAATATTTATATAACTTGAAGGCAATGAAGCTATTAGAAAGCAGATCCATGAGTTAGCTCTGCAATGCTACTCCATAGCTCATGCTTTTAACCCTTACTCACCACCTTGAACCAAAAGCCCAGCTCTGTTGGGTCGTGGATTTGCTTGGAGGTGCTGCCCAGCACGCATGTGCTGGCCCTGGGTAAACTCTCCTCCGCTAGGGGCCTCAGAGAGAACTCAGCAGATGTTCAGCATTTCCAAACTGCTCAAGGTAGATTCAACCCATGACTGGCCCTGGTCTGGGCCCCTTGACTTAACAAGCAACAGATTTTTTTTTTTTTTTTCTCGCCTGCAGAGGGCATACTGGAACCTACAACCCCTAAAGAGGAGTTTGGAAGGCAGGTAGAGAGGAACTCTTTAGAAATCTGTGAGAGCTGCTGATTCCAGGGCACATTACTGAGTTGTAGCAATGTGTTATCGAGTTGTATAGACATGTAAAGGCAGAAATGACAACACCATAAATAATGTACAAATATGGAATGAGTCCTGGGATTTAGAGTCAGGAAACATGGGTTTCATTCTGGCTTGAACACTAGGCAACTATATTACTAAAACAAAGCACATGTCCCCTCTGAATTTCTTTTCTCACCTCTGTAGTGTGAGGGTCAAGCTATCAGTAAGGCTCATGAGCAAAGTATGGTTTCAGACATAAAATATTTAATTACTTACAGTCTTTGGCTTCAGCTCTTTAGAGAAAGACAACTCTGGTGAGAATTTCCTATGAACCATCCCTAAGTGATACATTTCTGAGTCAGGAACTCTTCTCTCCAAATCCCTCCTGTTGGTTGGGAAGTCTGGTGTATACTTCTTYAGATGTTTTGGTCACTACACAAAATATACAGGCAAAAGCATCCATGGGTGCTAAGGAGCCTAAAGAGGCACCTTCCATTTTGCTGTGGGAAAGTATCATAGGCACTGGCTCAATAAAACAATTCTCTTATAAGTAGTTGACTTTCATTAAGATAATCAAACTTTTATAAGGTCAAAGATAGGCAACTGTTCTTAAATTAATAACATTTGTTGTTTGCATTATTTAGTGTTCCACAGTTTTTTTTTTCTTATAAAGTCTCCATAAAATAAGCTGAAGAATTACTACCACTTTCATCTGAAGATCCCAAATACTTCTCAGAGTGGCCATTCATCCCGGGTAGAAGGAAAAATTGAAACTTTTTTTTTTTTTTTTTTTTTTTAACTCATGGCCAACTACAGCCCTAAAGCTGTCTTTGCCTCTGGGGGAAAAGAATCTCTTCTTTGATTTCTGTTTGCAAAAACTGGTAGTCAATACATAGAATGTGTTTTTCAAACTCTGGGGATGTAAGATGATATTGACCAAAGAGGGACTGGAAAGATTACAATCTTATAGAACCAATAAAGCTGTTTTTAGAGTATTAAGTGCATCTTTCATCTTCAAATGACATTTTATTCTTAACTTTCATCCTAGGATCCACACATACTTGAATGCTGAAAAGTTATTACGAATTTTTAATTATATGCTTTCTGMTTTCTCTTACATACACTACAGAAAGATATTTTTTGTATGGTGTCATGTTTTCTCATTTCTGTTAGTATCAGGTAAATTTCTAGGTATTTCTCTTACTTAGCGTGGCTTTGTGAATATCACGTAGTGCCTCTGTTTTTGTTTCCTACAATGTTGAAAGGAAAACCCAGCATTTTGATGACAGGTGTGGAAAAGACAAATGCAGAAGGAGGTAGGGCCAGCTGTAAGTCCATGGGGTTCATGGGGTGCAGTAAAGGAGATTTGTTGTAATGCTGAGGCCAGACCAAAGCAATTGGTAACATGCCTGCTCTGGGTATTGTGGGCTTTAGAGAGAGATAAATTGTAGGTCTGCAGTTTGCACAGCACAAAGTATATGGAAAATGAAAAAGGAAGCATTTTCTATCAGAAGTGCTTTGAGCTACTCTGAAGAAAATGTAATTCAAATGGAGATTGTGGCACAATAAGGTCATACTTGGAACAGTGTTTACCTTGGCACAGAAGGAAGTGAAAGAGAGATGGTGCCTGGCTCTCTTTCTGTGAGAAATGAACAGCCCTGCAATAGTCTATTCTCTACTTCCTGAGAGGAAATCACTACTGATGGAGTCTGGACCCACCTTGATTGTGACCGAAGTGAGAAGCAGATAAAACTCCTGAGCTGCTGTTGCCTATGATGTGCAGGGAATTTGGCCCCAACAAAGTGGCTTCTCCTTAGCTTCCTGGATTTCTGAGTCTTTGGGCACATAAGCTTTCTTGCCACTTTCTGTGCTAAGTATTGTACAGATTCCAAACCTGTCTTCCTTCTTCTTTCTGGATTCCTTTACCCATCAAAACTCCTCTTCCTTTACACTCTGTTTAATCTCAACCATGTGGGTAGAAAACATCACTGATACAACAAAACGCCATTAAGTTGCTAGTAATAATGGGTGTAGCATCCCCATTCATTAGGGAATGGTTGTAACTTAATTTGTGAGTCCAAAGAAAAATATAGATAGTAGTAGGGGTTTTTTCTCTACTAACTCTTAAGTTGTACCGAATATCTTATTCTTCAACCTGTGCCACCAGACATCCAACTTTGAGGAAGCCTGTTCATTGGTTTATATATGTTTTATAAATAATTCATATCTGTGCTTCCTAGGATATATTGACTTTCTAGGGTTTAAATAACAAAGTACTAAAATCTAGGTGCCTTAAGCAACAGAAACTTATTGCCTCATAGTCCTGAGGGCTAGAAGTCTAGGATCAAGGTGTGTACAGGTTTGATTCTTTCTGAGTCCTATTTCCTTGGTTTCCAGGTGGTTTTTCAGTGTCTCTATCTGTTCTTCCCCCTGGAGATAAGTCTGTGTCAAATTTTTTTTTTTTTTTTTTTTTGGCTAGCACTGGGACTCAGGTCCTTGTGTATGCTAGGCAGGAAGTACTCTACCACTGAGCTATGGCCCAACCCCAAGTTTCTTCTTCTTTTAAAGTCACCAAAACTAGTGGATCGAAGCCAACTCTAATGATCTCTTAATCACTTCTTTAAATAACTTGTCGTATCCCCAAATACATTCAGATTCTGGGGTATTTAGGGGGTAGAATTGCAAAATATGAATTTGAGGGGGACACAATTCTTCCCATAACGTAGGGTGTCTGTGACCAGAGTAGAACTTGTAGAAACAGACCCAAGGAGCATTGATTGGGGAAGGATGCACTAGTAAATAGGAATAAAAGGAAGAAAGTGTTTATAAAGAAGGCAGAGAATGAGTGGTAATGAACTCACTGCTGAATATAAATACCCGAATGGCTTCCCATGCATATTCAGTCTCTGTGTCTAGTCCATTCTTAGTGCTCCTTTTGGAATTCTTATATTACTTATGTGAATAGATCCTTTTATCATAGAAAACTGAAAGGTGAAGGAGGGAGGGGGTTATTGAGCAGTTTTACATCTGCCCTTAATGATCACTGTTCATTCCACAAGCAAATCAAATTTGAAATTCATTAATAAAAGTACTTCTACTGTGATCAAGAGAATAAGTTGTTCCTGTTATGAGAATTATGGTCTCCTGTTGGATTGTGAAGTTTGAACAGGAGTCTACAGCCTTGTTTCAGTGTTTTATAGAATCTAATGAAATCTGTGCTTTCTGAAATAAGGCCTTACAGGATAACTAAATCATTATGTTCCTTTGTGTTTAGTTGGGGTGTATCAGTTCAGGTGTCAGCAATGGTCATCAGAGCTGATCAGAAGCTCTTGATTGAGAATTGTATAAGACTTTGAAAAAAAGACAGAATGAATTATTAATAAGTGCRGCTTGCTAGAATACCTTTCAAAGCTTGAGAAATGTTGAAAGGGGTTCTGGTGGACAAATTGATCTGGGACCAAAGAGATCCAACTGCTCTCCCATGGCTTCAGTGTCTGACTTGCCATTAACCCCATTGCAAAATCTCATTTCTGGACTTTTATCAATGAAAAAATTATTCTCACATGAAATTTGGAACCAAACCCTTCATCTAAATAGGTCTCTATTAAAACTTTGAGATCGTGCCAGTAAAGAGAAAGACACGATTAATCATACTTTTCAGTCTTCATATTCTTGTTGCTGATATTGCTGAACCAAAAATAATGTTATTATTATCTACCTTTACAGAGTAAAATGACTCAGTTTGTATTAAGTTTGTGCCCTTTTCTGTGAGACAATCTAATATATGTGCTGTTGCCACCTCTGATTTTGTTCTGGTTAAGATTTTGCAAATGCT